CTGCAGTTCAGTTATGTCCTATGTGAGATGGAAGACCACAAAAATACACAACGTTGAAGATAAGGGTGTTTTATGGATTTAGAAAAAAGCATATTTTTGCGTGTATTTTCAATTCCTTTCCTCATAATTCTTAACATGAACTGGTTTTGAACAACCTCTAAGCACTAAGCTGACGTTTTCAGAAGAAACCTCATTTTCACAATGACTGCTTACGACAACTCCTAGATTTTTTTCTGAATAAAAACACCTCATTAGAACCCACTAAACACAATTAGAGCTACTTTTTGTAAAGTGCAGTACCAGTTATTTATCAACATTAAATTTAATCTGAGATTTCTGCAACTGTTGTGTAGTGGGTTTCTGTGGCTGGGTTTTGGTAGCAGGGGCGGGGCTACAGGGGTGGCTTCTGTTAGAAGCTGCTAGAAGCTTCCCATGTCTGGTGGAGCCAATGCCAGCTGGCTCCAGGATGGACTTCCTGCTGCTGGCCAAGGCCAAGACAATCAGGAGTGACAGTAAGGCCTCTGTGATAACATTTAACAACTGAAGGTTTTGCGCAGATGAGAATTCCAGCCAGGAAAGAGTGGAGTGAGAACATGGGAACAACAAAGTAGACACCAAGGTCAGTGCAGAAGGAGGGGCAGGAGGTGCTCCAGGTGCCGGAGTGGAGGCCCTGCAGCCCGTGGTGCAGACCATGGTGGAGCAGCTGTGCCCCTGCAGCCCATGGAGGATGATCGGGGTGCAGAGACCCACCTGCAGCCCATGGAGAAGCCCCTGCTGGAGCAGGTGGATGCATAAAAGAGGCCGTGACCCTGTGGGAGGCCCAAGATGGAGCAAGGTCCTGCCAGAGACCTGTGGAGAGAGGAGCCCACACTGGATCATGTTTTTCCCAGGTAGGACTTGTGGCCCCTGTGGGGGACCCACACCTGTACAGTTCATTTGTGAAGCACTGCACCCCATGGAGGAGTGACCCATGGGACAGCAGTTTGGGAAGAACTGTTGCCTGTGGGATGGACTCATGCCGAAGAGGTCCATCAAGGGCTGTCTCCCATGGGAGGTACTCTGCGGGAGCAGGGAAAGGACTCCTCTCCCTGAGCAGCAGCAGAAACAACAACTGACTGTAACCCCAATTCCTGCCCCCCTGCACTGCTGTGGGGGAGGAGGTAGAGTTTAGAAGGAAGGAAGGGTGGGGGGAAGGTGTTTTTAAGATTATTTTACTTCTCACTCTTTTGCTGTGATGCTGTTAGTAATAAATTTAATTAATATCCCCACTTTGATTTGTTTTGCCCATGATGGTGATCAGTAAGTGACCTCTCCCAGCTCTTAACCCATGAATCCTTTACTGTTTTTTTTTTCTCTGTCCTCTGTCCAGTTGTGGAGGGGAGTGAGAGTGGGTACCTGGAATCCAGCCAGGGTCAACCCACTACATGTTGATAGTCATCTTTAATTTTGTACTATCCTGAATACTATCTGAGTAATTTTATATTATTTACACACTTTGGTACAACACTTCTGTGAATCATTTGTGACTATGTTGAACTGCCCAGATTCTATCACAGAGACTTCTGAAATGATTTTTGTAACCTCTCCGTGATATTAAATCCCATGGCCTCTTATCTTTAATTTCTAATGTTTTAACCAGGTTTTACCCCTGAGGGATCTCCGACTTTACACATTACCTTAACTTCTTTGATGATTTTATTCTTATAGGACCTTACTGAAAGTTTTTTAAAGTCACTAGATACACCGTGTTGATTAGACATCCATTACAAATCTTCATTGATTTCTCCAAAGAATTCAAGTAGATTTGTGACAGATTACTTCTACCAATCAAATCAACGCTAACTCTCCTCTAATTCTATTCTCTGTCATAGTTTCCAGTTATTTGCTTAGTGTAGTGGTCAGTCTTATGGGTTTGTAGTTACCTGGAGCTACCTATAAAATTTGGCATCACACTTGCTGCCTTCCATTACCTGGTGTTGCCATGATCTAAAGTAATAAGCTTACCAGTTAAAATTCAGCAAATTTGTAACTGTAGAGCTCTTGGGAAAATTCTAGAAAATTGAAAAGATATCAATTCACAATAGGACAATCCTGACCCACTAATAAACATGCTTACCTTTACAAGAAGCAAATTGTCACTTATTGATCATATCCACAACCATGAGAAATCACTTTGAGAAACCTGAGGTGTTTAAAGACTTGATTAAATGTGTAGTTTTACCCCATGATTCAGTTTGCACGCTTTCAATAAAGTGGCACAAAGGAATTTCGTTTTTTCATCCGTGTTCCTCTTTGTATTTTGTTTGAATAAAGCCAAGAAGCAAAAACTTTCAGTATTCAAATATTTCTGTGATGGAAGAATTTAATCCAGGAGAATAAAGAAAATGACCAAATGAGTCTGAGAGGCAACAGACAGTGATACCAGTACTCACATACCAGTGTTGCCGCTATATAGATTATACAGGGAAATCACTATAAACCTGTTGAGGGTTACCAACTGCACAAACCACATCCAGCTAAGGATTTCCTGAGATGAACATAGTTGGAAGACTCAGACTAGTAGTAAGAGTCGTTCATGCTCATCCTGTTGTTTCCTTCCCTGGCCATCCATTTATTCCAGCTGAGGGTGTCTTTTCTCCCCCCACACAATACCTCCATGCCCTTAAGAATTGTAGGTCTTTGGCATATGCTGGACACAGGTTACATCTTTTTGAAGCCACCTATGCTCTGGTCCCAAGAGCTTGAGATCGCTTTGTATTAGTCTACCAGAGGCTTAAGAAGTGGAGTAAGTATCCATGCACTGGCGTTTCCAAGGACTCACAAAGCTCCTGAGTCTAGATGGACCTTTAAACTGAGTTATCACAACCTTTTCTACAGTCTTACATGCCTAGGCAAAGCTGCAGGCAATACAGTCCCTAAATGGATTTAAGTCTTACTCCCTTAATTCAGTTTTTCTATCTCTTCCCTCCCCATCCCTCTTTTCTTTTTCCTCCTAGTGTACTGAATTTAAAAACAATTAGGTTCTTTCCTTTTGTAGAAAGGAAAAACTAAAAAGTGGATTTTTTCTTTTGAGGGTAGCATGGTGAACAGTAATAAATTTGTCAGCACCGGAATCTGTCCCCAGCTTAGCAACAAACTTTTAGCATAACCTAATTCCTAAATTCCTGTTGTAAATAGATTGAGTTGGTTATTTGAGAATTAAGTATTTCCATACTGAGCTAAATTCTAATTATCTCTTATACTGTAAGTACTTCATTTATTTGGGGAGACAATGGTATGTTACTTAGCGAAAGGGCAGCAAAATTATTGCAATATTAATAAAAATGCATCACAACAGTTGTAGAATAAACTATTAAGCTTTAAATCAGAAAAGTAATTATAGGCCTATTATCCAATATGGCTACAGATGCTCTGTGTATTTATACACACAATTGCTTTCACATATACACCAGGAGGATTACAATGAAATAAAATCCATGAAAGAAAGTATTTATCCAGGGAGTTGGAGTAAAAGCAAAGATTTCATTTCCATACCAAGCAAAATAGAACCAAGCAGCTGTTCAGTTACTTTGGATTCATATTCCTGCTTGATAATGATTAAAGATATTAAGAGCACCAAAATGACATGTCAAGATAATAAACGAGGTTTTCTTGGTGATCAGCATCTGTCATCAGAATTCCTATTCCTCTGAGCAGTATTTGCTACTCATGAGAAATTCCTCCTTCCAACAAAAATTACATTTTGTTTGCATTTTCCCATAAATATTCTTTTCCCTTGAATATTGAACTTTTTATTGTAAAACTCTGGATATCCAAAGAGGGAAATGATGAAAATGATCAGTAATAAGGGATCTCACAAATCGTCCATTTTAACTAAATGAAAATACAAAGACCATGTGTGCAAAATGTTTATAGTTTTTTTAGGAAATCACTACCAATATGGCTGTGAAGTCCATGTTGGTCTAGCAATTTCCTGTGTTTGTGTCATGGCCATGCACCAACATTTCTGCCACACTTCTTTTCTCCAATGTGATATTCAATTGCATTCTAGCTTAATTCACAAGTTACATTTTCAAATGCTGCTTATTTACTGCTCATGTTGCACTTTGGGTCAAGATTGTTTCTGTGGACACAGAAGGTGCTTTAACCACTCTAAACTTTCACAGAGTTAAAAACCCCCAAACTAAAGTAACTTCTTTGAGGAGTAAAATTTTTATGTTAGAGCCAGAAACTGGGAAAGGGCAAAAGATAACAAGTACCTGTACACTCAGCAGCGGTTCCATAATCAGCCCCACTGCAGAGTTATCCAGCTTTTGCTGCATTGCATTCACAGGACACTGTGCTTTAGGAAATAATCCAACATATTCATCTGGAATAACAGACCACATGATCTCCTCAGGCAAAAAGAGCATGGGAGGGGGAATGCCTCTGCTTATCACAGTCACCACAGGCATGCTGGCTCCTGATACCACCATCTTATCATGTCCAGACCAGCATCTTCCAGGCAATTTGCTTCTCTCTGTGAGCAGACAATCAAAGTAGCTTAGCCTTGAAAACAGTTTATAGGACAAAAGCAGGTGTCCTGGGATCCTGCCTGACAGAAAGCCATGCTATAATTGACACCATGATTCTGAAGGCTAGAAGAATCTGCTTGGTGTGAGCAGCAGAAATGACATTGCAACAGGTGGTGGTGCAGAGGCTGTTTGTTAGGGGTACCACTGCACAGATGGAGGGCATGTGGGAGGGAACCAGGCATCAAGATGTGAAGGAAAGGGCATATACAGGCAGTTGGCTGCTGAGACAACTTCTGTTTGTGCATTGGGCCCACACCAATGCCAATATCATCACTTGGGTTTGTACACAGCAGCCCCCACTGCTATGACTCACCCAGGCCAGGGCCAGAATCTCCAACCAGCCAAAACACTGTAGAGAAAACAGCTTCTTCAACGTGACTGTTGTTTCCTCCTTGAACCTTATTTTAGTTAAAGCTACCTTTTCATATACAGCCTCAATGTCGTTTCCCTGAGCTGCTTTTTCTATTCATCTTGTTCTACTTCTTTGTTCATATATTATTCTGCCTTTTCATCCAGACAGAAAAGCAAAGGTTAGAAAGAGGACAACAATTCAAGTAGGCACTGATGCAAGGACCAGCCATTCAGGAAAAAAGACACAAGAATATTGAAACAGCAAGAATAGAAAGATGCAGGTAAGCATGGAGCTGTCTTACTACCAGACAGAACTGACAGCTTCTACCTTGCTGCTCCCCTGGATGGTGGAGACTTGCTGTTTGCCTGTCAGGTTGCTCAGTGCTCTAGGTAGGAGGGCAGGAAAATATCATAGCTCAATGATTTGCACCTTTCTTGACAAATAACAAAAGAAGTAGGAGTATGGTTTGTTCATCTTTGGCCTTTGATGTGATTCAGTTATGTAGGGGAGAATTCAGAAAGGCCCTAAATCAACAAGGAGGATACTTTTGATTGCCACTGAGGCAGCTAACTAACTGAACAGCATTTCACAGGAGACATTGTTTTGACTGGATAAGTTTGAGATTATTAAATCAATGTATATTACTTCAGTGTTGTCTATCACATATAAGGACTTTGACTACACTTTTGTTAAAAGGTGAACTGAGATATACCAACTTGGTTACAGTCAACTGTAGAGCACTAACTTGAAATGCACAGCTTGGATTTTGTTAAGTTTCTCAGGACTATCATGGAACCAGGATGCGTAACTCTGCATTGTTTATCTGCAAACCTTCAAGTGCTTATCAACACACACATGTTAAACTATCTTCTTCCAAATCCTGAAAACTTGAAATGACACAGAGTTTTTCAGGAGGAAATTCATTGAAACATATGTACCTAACTTGCTGCACCCTATGCAAAACTCAGTCACTGGCTTCTGCTGTTGAGGACCAGGAAACTGTGACAGTGTCTTTGTGAGTGCTCAAAAAACAGTTAGCACAACAGTCCTGTGGGATGAAGCAGGAACACCTAACACAGTGGTTTTCTATATAATAAATCTCAAGATGTCATTGTCATATCACTGCAACACATATTCTAACTTGATGATGTAGCTGAAAGCTCCTACAGCTGTTGTCTTCTGTGCTGCCAAAAGTGTATCCATTATCCTTCCTAATCTATCTGTGCATGAGAACATGGCAGAGCCCTTCTAGTTATCTAAAATATTTGTAGTCTGAGTTTCAAGTGAGTGCTTTTGACAATTAGAAGTTTTTCTCTTTTGCTTAGTTCCTCTAAGCAATGAGTAATTCTTCTTCACATGATAAACTCTATTGTCCCCTAAAATTAGTCCCCTATGAAGAAACCACGTCAAAGCAGTGATCTAATGTCAAAAACACCTCTGGCTCTCGAAATCAGAGCAAACACGAGAGAAGAAAAAGAAAAATTAAAAACACCTTCCTTGGCAATTTGGAGAAGAATTTATTTCTTCCTACAGAGTGCACGATGAGTAATTCCTTTGTAAATGCTAAATTCCATCAGAAAGTATTTTGGAGTAATCCTGTTGAAGTCTCATGTTTTCAGTATTGCAGTCAATAAAATGAAGACATCCCCTGGTTAAAAATATGATTTAAGAAAGAAAAAAAGCAGGTGGTGAAATAAGAAAGAAATATTGTAAATGATGGATTACTGATTATAAATCAACCACCTCTTCCTCAATGGTTCCTATCAAAGTTCAGTTGCAGACCTGGTCGACCAGGGCAGGAGTGCTGCTGTGGCTCTCACAGGGCAGACACAGTCCAGGAGGTTTCCAGATGGGGTCTGCTCAACACCAAAGGGAATTTTGTTTATCTTAGACTTTTAATTTCTTCTCTACGTGAATGATTTTTTTTTTTATTCATAGAAGGGATTAATTTTGACCTGACTACATTGACTGGCTTTCTGTTTACCACAGACGAAACAACTTTCCTGGGTGTACTGTCAGTTCTGTAACTTTTACCTGAATTCATCTTTCAGAGATACAAATGGAGACTTGTTTAGGAACAGACAGATTTAAGATCAGAGTGATCCAAAGATGTTCAGTGATATACACTCAATCCAAGTTCTGAGTAATTTCTAGATGTCAGTTCTCTGCCTTGCTATTGAACTAGCCTGAAATAGACAAAATTTTGTTTTCTCTAGTAATTTTTAACCATCTTTTGATAACTAAATAAATAGACTCACTGTACAGTTTGGATCTCAACTCTCATTTAAATTTTGCAGATTTTCTGAATGCTTTCCAGCTTGTCAACATTCCTTTTTGAATTGTGAGGATTTGAATGAGTCTTAGTAAAGCTGGAAATACCTTCTACCTACTACCATTTGGTATTTCCAGTCTTACACAGCCCAAGATTGCTCCTCAGCCATAGATCAAGCTCCTCCCATCACACTTGAAGCACTTATGCAAAGCATTATCCTCTACACTATTTCTGAGTTTCGTTTACTGAGAGACAATACCAGATTGCAAGTGCCACAAATCTCATACTCAAACATATTTAAGGAAAAACACCAGCTACAAGGGTTAAGACACATGGGAAGAGACAATGAGAAAGCATGTTATAGGGAGATGTTGTTGGGAAAATGGCTGGATATACTGTTGGAAAGAGGTGCTCCATGCCAGAGAAGGTATTTCTGAGGGGACTGCAGCTGAGGATAGTCCATGCTGAGGTATGATCCCCTCTGAGGATCTGTGGCCAGGGGCCACTCACACTATCACAGGGACAACCCTGAGGTACTGCATCTTGTAAAAGAGGTGTTTCCCTAGGTTTTTGTGTAATTTGCTGTGTTTTTTCTCTTCTTTTCTTACCTTGCTACCCAAAAAACAATAATCAAAAGTTATTGTTAACTAGCAATGAACTAAATTAAATAAAATTCCTTAAGTAGACACTGCTTTGAATATGACAGCCTCTTCAGTATCACCAGCTGCAGCAATGCAGGTCTCTGTTTTTCCAAACTCTCATCTGGGGAGGGCTGCTTCCCATGTGCAGCCCAAGGGAACATGACAGAGGGACAGAGGCTGTGGTGCAGTGGCGAACCTTTCTTTGGAGAGGGTTAACAAACTGCAGTATGCAACACTCCAACTGACCAGGCCTTTGGGTACTTTTAAAGGTGAATTATGATGTTCTTCTGAACTTATTTCAGATTGCTATTACTCATAAGTCAGTTTTCATTAAATGACTCAAATCTATCAATGAATCATAATAATAAAAATAATTTGACTAGCCTTACTCTGGTCTCAGAAGAATTATACCATTTTCCAAAATGAGAGGGCTGTATAGCACAGACAAAGCCAGGCACTTAGCAGCATTACAGTGTTGTATTTTCCTGAAATTTTAAGAGCACTGCTGTTCTCCTGGCACCTCTGGCTCTGACTCTGCTGGGTGCTGAAGAAATACTGTACCTCTGTGAGCTCGGTTCACAACTGTAGACCAGTGGAAAAAGCAACATTCCTAAACATTTTCAGGTTTTTCAGAGAGGGAAGGAGGAAAAGTGGGTTTCTGTCTCCCTGCCTCACCAGCTGCACTGAAGTACAGCTTGAGTACTGCTGGTTACATCAGGCTCCGTGTGGATGCATTCAACAGCGGATAGTAAGACAGCATGTGTTAGCAAAACTTCGAAATGGAAAGCATTGTCCTCTTGCTTTAGTAGTAACTTTTTCTTTCTTTTTGCCATAGAGCAACATGGGTTTGAGGTTTGCATTAATTAGTACTGTTAAAAATTAACAGTAAGCACAGATTATAATTTTTCCTGAAGACCTACTAAATTAGATTTACATTTACAATAATTAATGAAAGGCAAATAATACTTATACATGGTAATGAAGAAATTTCAGTAGAATAGAAAACACTTTATTTCTTAGGACAGAAAGCACAGAAATAGATAGACTCACACAACAAAGTAAGTCGGGTTCCTTAAATTCTCCCCATACGTTGTATATTCCAGGCCCTGGTCCTCTTAATGGCTCTCTTCTGACCTCTCTCCAGTTTGCTAATCTCTCTCTCTTGTAGGAGTAAATATTAAATATTTATATTAAATTAAATATTAAAGCAATTTAATATTGAAATGACAATTCCCAATAGCAAATTATGCACTGGAGGTAGAATACATAGGATCCAAACAGATGTTCGTGGCTGGGATTGTCATCTGGAATCCTTAATGGTCACTGAAGATGAATCTATTCTCAGATGGTTGTCCTTCTGAAGCTGATAACAGCAGATAACATCAGGTTAAATGACTTTGCATCCTAGATCTCTTCATTGAACATAACGAATCCAAGGATGGAGGCACCGCCACTGTAGATATCTGAGGGTAGAGGACAGGAATCCTCCCCCCATGACTGTATATCAGTCTGTGCCAGGAAGTGAACACAAGGCACACAGTTTTGCACTGGAAGCTCTAGAGGCAGCAGTCCCAGTACTCTAGGTATTGATCTTTGACCCCAAAATACACAGAAACTGTTAACTCTGCTTTGCCTTTAGCAGGATGGAGAATGACAGGAACTTGGTCTCCTTGTAATATATCAATTCAAACTGAATTTAAAGTAGCATATTTATGTTTCCCTAACAAGGGATTCCCAGGAGAAATCCTTCCTGCTTCTATCTAGGCAGTGATAATGCCACAGCAGCTGGGTTGCAAACATCCCCTTCTCAGGGACACCCCTGAAGTTACTGAAGACAACTGGAGTGAGCTAACAGACTTAACAAAATCAGCACATCACCTTTTATGTGTATTAAGGCTCAAATACTTGTGCTGCTTGAATCCTCACAGTGTTTTGTAAAGATATGATCACCTTATAACTTCGTGTTAACATTTAATGCATTTAATTTTCTATGTCATTTGAAATAAAACAAACCCCTTGAAGTGACTTAAAAAATTGTCTTCACAGTTTCTCTCTTTTTTTTTTTTTTTCCCCTATATTTGCCATATAAATGACCTTGCAAACACTCCCATGTAACTGCTTGGTAGGTTGCAGCAGACAGCTTCTCTCTGCTTGGCCAGTTTACAGCAGCAGTTTTCCCTTGAGAGCAATTCATGACATGTCTCAGCAAGCCAAGAACTAGACAAGTGGGACAGCTGGAATTGGCTTCTGTGCAGCTGGTTCTTTGTACTTTCTTTCCTCACTAGGCAACTGCTTCAGAGTAGCTGTGTCCATTGAGCTCGGTGGATTTAGCCTGGCTTGTAAAATCCATCTCCTGTGGGAGGTGCCAGTGGCTATCCATTGGCTTTAGTGGGAGCTCATGTTATGTGTGCTCAGGTTATATAGAAAGTTATTCCAAAGATGTTGCAAACTAAAAGTCATATTAAAGCAGTGGCAGACTTACAACTCACATGCCTGTGAATAAAGACTCCCTTAAGTGGCTTGCATTTCATCATCCCTTGCCATACCTTCCTGATAAAAAACAGGAAATAACAGACTAATAGAATGGTTTGGGTTGGAATGAACCTTAAATATAATCTAGTTCCAACCCTCATTGTCATGGGCAGGGACACCTTTCACTAGATCAGGGTGCTCAAATCCCCATCCAACCTGGCCTTGAACATCTATGACTTCTCTGGGCAACCCGTTCCAGTGCCTCAACACTCTCACAGTAAAAAGTTTCTTCTATGGCAGTGATCTCACCACATCTCTATGTGTCTGGCTCACTGAGTCCTGGTGGATAACCAGGATAAGGAGCCCTGGTGGATAACCTCTTCTCAACTCCAGAACCAGAGTCATGGTTTCATGTGTTGGGAGAAAGAAATATAGTCTCTGGAAGCCTAGAAAAGCAAGTTTATCTGGGGATATAGGCTAAATGGATGTATAGAAAGACCCTTGATACTACTGGGGGGAACATACATGTGAAAAAGTTAAATTAAGAGAGGAAGAACTTGACATTCACCTGCTGCTACAATTTCCTTGCCTGTTCTCATATGAAACCATGCATTTCTCTCCACAGCCAGAGTCCCTCCTTCAATAGGTTGATGTGCCATCTGGAAAATGCTTTCTTTGTGGCTGTGCCTGCTGGCTGAGAAGAGGTAAGGGGTTTCTACATTGCTTTCTTTGTACTTGAGAGGAAGTCATAGTCATTGCACTGATGTTTTGTCCCCCATTGCATGATAACAGTGGGTGTAGGCAGGACAAAAATTGGAAGCAGGAACAGTGTTACCAACAGGAAAAGGTCTTTGATCTGAAAATGCTGATGCTCAGTACATCTGCATACGTGAAGGACTGTCTCCTTCTCTTCATGTTCAGCTGATCAAACCCTAGAATATTTCAGAAGCCCTCCAAGTTTTTTTTAAGGGCTGGAAATGCCATGTGATTTTCATGTTGTTTTGCACTACAGATGTTTCTGTGCAAATAAAGGAAAAGTTTCTGAGTGAAAAACTTCAGGTCCATTGAAATCACTAGAGTTTTCATTTTAGTGTCCTCTCTTTTAATTTTTTCTCATTAGGTGTTACCCCCTTAGTTTATAGACCAGAAAGTCTTCTGCTGCTGTGTGACTTTATGCACCAGCATTACTGCAGTGTTAACGGAGAGATGCTGTTTCCACTGTAATGGACTGGATATGGTGCACATTTACAAAATCTCTTACCAAAAAACACGGAAGGAAGAAATACCTTATTTTTGGCCCAAGTTAAGGAGACAACCAGTGGTGCTGGTTCCATTTTGACAAGATACATAGATGTGCTTTGACCTGTTTGCCATCTCGATTCTCATCTTTTCCATCCCAATAGAAATACTGATGTCACTCCCTGTCTCTAGCTTTGGACATTAAACAGAGGCAAGAATTTTACATCATTTAGTCTTAAATGTTCTCTGAACTAGACTTACTTTCTTATAATGCTCTGCTCTATCTCACTATAACAGTGAGCCTCACTGAACTATCAGCCTACTTCTGCTGCCACAAACATTTCCCTAAGATTGTGTCAAAATCTACTGGTAATGGTGGAAAAGAAAAAGAGCTCCTCTACAAGCAGAAATAGAAAATTAAATAGGAAGCTGGCTAATGTAAGGTACTCATCCATGCTAGGAAAAATATAAAGTGGTATTCTTGAGGGAAGAGACATTTCTAATGCTGATTTGGTATTTTGCCTTTCCATAGCTTAAACTTCTGTTTAAAGATTGTTGAGAAAGGGCATTTGTGCCCTGACTGGTGCTGACTGAAATACTACTCTGGGTCCTTCATGTTTTAATGGGACACAGGCCAGCATCCCTCCTCCCCTGTAGCATGAGGTGTGCTTTTGGCTCTGTTATGGCAGGGTGTTCAAGGAGCTGTGGAAGGAACATTTCCCCTTCTTTCCACATTGCAGCTGGGGTAGGCATGCTTCAGTCCAGTCCAGCTAGGGCAGCTTGGGCTGTGGAGCTGAAGGGATGTGATGAAGGAGGAATAAATGGGGTATCCCTGAGTGTAACGCCCTGAGCAGACTGAGTACCATGTATAGCACAATGACACCTTTTTTCAAGGGCAGTGCTTACACACATAAGACTTCCCACTTGAATTTGTCCCAGCTGGTCCACCTGACAGTGCCATGATGCTGGAGGAGAGAGATGCCCGTGGTAGGTGGCAAATCTGTCCTGGTGGAGTGTGCTGTTGCTTTACAAACCCGTTCCTTGTATCCCCACTAAGCATCTACCACAGGACAGGTGGATGGCCTCCTGAAGCTGTCTCAGTCAATGGAGCTCACTGTCTAGATGGTTACAGGATGTGATGATGCCTTTTGCATTATTTGTGGATGTCGATTTAATCAGGCAACTGCCTTAGCTTACATGCACCAGCTAAGCAACTCTTGGCAAGTGTGCTCTGCAGTGCAAGTAGGGGCCCCTATAGAGGAATTGCTGTGTAATAATAAAATTAATTTGAAGAGTCCAAAAAGGTAGAATTTTCTACAATCTTGTACACAGAGAGGCAATGAAATGCTACATTCCTTGCAGAACTGATGTGTCTTATCTTGTTCCGTCCTTTGAAAGTAGGAGAAAAATCAAGAAGCAATCAACACAGCTGGGCTTTTCTTTTTGTTTACTTGGAAAATTTGTTTTAACCATCAACTTTAGCAAATTTTGGCAGTTACAAACCTGTACACTTTTTTTTCATTGTTTTGTTTTTATAGCAAAAAAACACAAGACAATACTGCCAACAGCAATGATGAAGAAACAATTAGTTTTCAGATGAAGGACTATACCCACTCAAAGTGATAAACCTTCCCTTTTGCATAAGGTTTAATTTGTTGTCATTGGAAAAATGACATCTCTTAATACCTACTTGAAATGGAATAAAAATCATATCTCTAGGTTTTTTGTGCAAAACACATTCATTTAAAAAAAGTCAATAAAAAACATCTTAGAAACAGAAAGAAGTTAAACAAAAAGAGCTGAACCCAAAGGAAAGTTACAGTACATTTTGAAACGATTAAAAAGTTTTCAGATCTAAAACTTTTTTGTTTTTTTTTCCTGCTGTTATCTTAAACTTTAAACCAACTTTGATGACTCTTTAGAATTATATCAAACAAACAAATAAACAAAAAAAAATTAAAGCAACCTGATTGGCATCAAATATCTACAAAAGCCTGGTAATTTGAAACCGTTATATACATTAGTTTATAAACTTCTTTTTAAACACCAAAACATACATCTTTTACAAACCAGCCTGATTGCAACAGGTAAAATTTACAAGACAATCTTTTCCAATACAGTGCTTTAAAGAGAACTGCTTTCATTCCTAAACATCTTTGTCATCTCCTGAAAAACGGCAGTATGGGCTCATTGCATTGTTAAATAATAGCGCTTCAGGTATTCCTATGACAAAAGAATGCTACAGTTCTGAGGGCTCCAATCTCTTTCCGTAATACAGTTCAAGTGCACTCTTAACACTGGTAAAGATTACTTATGGCCTTTGTGTAATACGACATATTTGCAATTATTGCTTTTCGTTATTACATAAAGAAATTAATTTAAATTCATTTCCTCCCCATCCACACATCCCTTGGATGATGCAGCTAAATTACTAACTGAATGGCCCTTCTCATAATGGAGATGTTAAATGTCAAGTTGTGAAACACAGGTTAAAATCCATGGGTAATGGCCAATGGTCTAAATTTCTAAGACTCAAATCACAGTTTGGCATATTGAGAGAAAAAGAGATGCAAACAGGCAAAATGCACAGTTTTACTGCATGGTAAATGACGGTAAACCATCAGGGAATGAACCTGAAGATGTAGCTCTCTTCTTGAAAACCGCCGAAATGTCCATTGTTACTCAGTGAATAGCTCCAAACATTACCAACAAAGCACAGATGTACTTTCAGTAGTAGTTTTAAAGAACTGGTTTCTTCCATTATTAAGGGTGCTTCCTTTTCAAATGAAGCTTTGCAGAACTGGTCGAGGGCACCTTCAACTCCCTCTCCCATGACTGCAATTACTATGGGCTATAAGAATATACTATAGCATCAATTTAGTTTTTTCAAGCAGGAGCTTGATGAGGAGTAGAGCTGTGTTCTTAACCATTTTTCTTGTCCAGCCCACATTTATCTTTAACATGGAATTTATATAAGCCAAGAGCAACAGCTTTTATGTCATATTCTCAAAATTTCCCACCTGCCTGTTTTGCAGAGAAAACAGGCTGCTGCCTCCCCATTAATCAGCATTTCAGTGACATGCATTTTTTCACTGTGCTGCACCCACTCTGAGTTTCTGGAGGTACCAATACATCAAGGCTATCAGTGCTTCAGACTACATCAGAGAATTTAGAGAATGGGAGAAAAAATTCTGAGGACCAAAATTTAGGTTCTTTGTGCAACATGCAGAGGGGGAGATCCTGCTCAAGAGATGGATCACACAGCTTTCTGATTTCTGAGGAAAACAGTGGCAGTGAGAAGCTTTTGACTCCTTACAGCCTTTTACTGCAACTATAGATTAAGGAAACCCATGGGATAGTTCAGAATCAAAGATGGCACTGAGCTTAAGGAAAATAGCTTGATAGACAGGAAATCACAGTTCTGTAGTGAATCTCTGCATTCCAAAGTCCTTCTTACGTGTATGTGTCTTCATACATTGAGTCCTATAGGAGGGTCCTATAGGAAGACAACTTTATGGTGATCTTCTAGTGGGGTTGTCCATTTCTTTCCATGGGAGGAAGTGATTCTGCAGCTCCTCAGTGTCACATTTGTGTGTCTGCTATAAGATACTGGCCCAGGATAGCAACCACATCCAGTACCTATGGTTTTGGGAGAACTTTTTGCCCTTTTTTTTTTTTAGAATGTTTGTAATACAAAGGCAAAATAATTAACATATTTAAGAAAGGTACATAAGCACAAAGCCACTTTATGTGGTATTGGCAGCATAAATCATGTTGTCTGCCTCTTTCTTTTGCCAGAATTATCGAAAGGGCTGTCAGTGTGCACGACAATCTCAACTTGATCAAAATGCAGAGAACAAGTACCCTTTTACTCAGCCTCATATACTCCTAGCAAAGTCATTGATTTCTGATACAAGCGAGTATTTGCATTTTAACAAGTCGCTTTTTTCTTTACAAAAAGCAAAGACTTCCTTGATTCTAGGAGTTATAACCCAATGATACTCAAAAGTACTTTATTAAGCCTGTGAAATCATCTGCTACAGATGATTCTGAGAGAAAATACTGTGTAGTGGAGCCATCTACAGGGATGTAGTTTGAAATACAGACACACAGGATAAGCAGAGATGTGAGGGGAGCTCTTGCAGAACCAGGGACTTGGCAATGACAGCAGTAGCAATATAAAAATCATCATATGGCAGAAAAGAGAAATATATATTGGATGGACTAATATGAACAATAATTCTGACATTAGGTTATGAATGTGTTGTTATCTTCCAGATTAGAAAACTGTGACTTGTACATGTGGAGCAGTAATTAAAAAGAAAATAAAATGGTTTGGTTTAACAGAGTTGTTAATATGAAAATCTGACTCCCTAAGAGGTATTTCACCTTTAGATCTGCATTTGGGTCTTATTTTCAAAAAGAGCTTGAACAAAACCAGAAGGGCCATGGAAGTACCATATTC